CCCATATGTTCTGAGCAGAGGCCTGATTTTGGCCTGGTGCGCCGGATCCATTTGTGTCTTTCCAATTATGCATCAAACCCCTTGAAAATAAGATCAAAAACATAATAGTCTTTGTTTTAAGTCCTCTGTGTGTCATTCAAGCAGCAGATCTACTTAGCAACTGCAGATTTTATAGGAGCGTTCACAAGAGAGGGCGCCGGTCACAGGGCCTGTCATTGTTGTCACCAGTTAACTAATTCACTAAATCAAGGCAGGGAAGATTCAGGATATAAAAAGCTTTTTTAAGATAAAGATAAAGGATGAAGGCAACAAAGCTAGAGAAGGTGAAGGAAGAATTATCTCTTGTTGCTGCTGCCAGATGTATTATCATTAAGCTAAACATGGTCAGAAGTTTCAGTGCATTTTGTCAGCAACACAGAGTTGCTCCAGTTCTTATTAGTTATTTGGATTTATTATGTTATGGAACTTTAAGAGTGAGTTTTCCCCTCATCAGCACCTGCAGCTCTTCTCCTGAGCTATCCAAGGGGTCGATCATCCAGATTATTATTGTGGTAGCTTGTTCTCCATTCATAAGACGGCAGGTTTGACACCAGGTTCCTTCTTTACACCTGTATGAGCGATTACAAAGAATAAACAGCAGTTTTCAGCATTTGCACTTGCACATTGCCCAGGAATTGCTCATTCTAGCATTTCCTTTGGGATTCATAAAGTTCTATCTTATTTTATATTTTAATTTACCTTAACAACTAATTAGATCTCACTGGAGCCAACGCCTACACATGTGATTATGGTTCTGAAAATCGTCACAAATTAGGACAAATTCCAGGACACACGCTCTGAGAATCGCAGGTAAAATGAAGCTGCACTCATTGTAATATAAATGTGGAACATAGACTGAGCACATAAAGAAAGTCAGACGGCATTGCTTTGCAGATGAGAGATTATTTTAACTCTGGACTTTAAGTAACCTAAAAATTAAAAATAAAAATGACAACACGCTAAAGTTAAAGATTTCTGTGCTAAGCTAAGGTCACAATGTTTTAGGACCCTAACATCGCCTCTGATAATAACCACACCTGTCCTGTGGTTGTTAAGATGAGTATGTGTGTGTGAATATATATACACACATATGAGATGGTGAACGCCAGAGCTTAGCCACATGCCTCGCTGTGTCTATATCTTAATGTGTGTAAGTTAAGGTTTATTTAAAACCAATGGCGATGACTACATTGTCCAGAGCAGTGACCCTTTAGCATTATGTTCTTCATTAAACAGAATTGTCTGAGGACATGTTACGGACTCAAAAACTCACAGCCATTGACAGACATTTAAATGTTCATACGTCTGCGTTTCAGTCTGCAGCTGGATGATGTTCGGTGCTGAGTGATTCCCTGTTTATAGGCTACAACAAGTGTTCTATCATTTTTTAGCCAAACTGTAGACTTTGTGATCCCTGTCTGGGTCTAATGAGAAATTTTACACTTATGCTACATTTGCTTTTTAAAATTCCTTCCTGTGTTATTCATGTTAGGACATACGCCCATTTCCATGAGTTTTGATTGTGGAGAATTGTGTGGTTTTAAAGCATAAAAAAACAATACAGACTTGATGGCGAGTTGTCATTTGTTACATTACATAGTCTGACATCTCTTACTGTTCTGTAACCTCACCAGCTTATGTGCTAGGAGTCACTGAACATTACCAGTCACCACTGAAACGTCTGGGTTGACTCTAATTACTCACAAAGTTCAGGAACCAAAGCTACGCTTTGTATCATAAGATGCAAAATCAAGTGATGGATTACATGACATTCGAGTCATTTTGATTCCTCCTTATTTAAGTCATAATGAGAATGAGGTAAACCTGGAGCTTCCAATGGTAAAGTTTCAGCTGATGCAACACACGTTTTTAAAATGTTAACTGAGCCCAGAGGATTGCATGTAGAACACATATAAAAATCTTTAAATCATACACAAACATACATGAAATGCCTTTTCACAGCATACATTTTCTATTTTTGTAAGATATAGTTTGCAGATAAGCAACTGATGTACAACCAGATGGTAAGACATGCACTTTGCAAATGAACTTTGTTCAACAGCTGCTAACCACTATAACCCTATTTCGACCGCCACAATGCAACATACCAGTAACACAAAATGTTTGATAACTACCCACGCACACACGTGCTGCGTTACATCATTTCAGTCACCCAATCAATGTTCCCATCGTATAGCTGCAAATAGCTTTGGTGAAGCAGAAGTTGAGTGCCTCCGTGTTAAAAAGCGTACTGAAATCATTTCCTCTGAAAACAATACCAGAGGGGAGGAGCTGAGAACATTTTAACACTGCTGTCTGCTCCAAGTCAAATGGATAACGTGCGAGCCAGCCCAGTCTGGTGAGTGATGTAATTTCACAGTTTGATGCTGGTGTCTAATGCCTGGATGATGACACATCTTTCGGTGGTTCATCAGAAACATTGCGTTAATTCCTCTTCAGAGAACCCCACCTGTGTGTAGGTGGCCACAGTCAACACTTACCGAACTGTTAATAAAAAGAAATAATTTCCCAATCAAATCACATTTTAAACAAGGTTTTACTCAAGTTGGTCCATACTGGGAAATCACATGTACGATACACAACAGTTTAGTGTATAATGCGCATGACTGTACAAACTTGCACAGAAAACCTAAAATATGACCTTTCTTGTACAGTTTATGGAGTATTTATATCAATGCCAGGACAAGAGCAGCTGTGGACACACATTTGTTAAAATAAGATAATAAAAAACAGAAAAAAAGGTCTTTATTTATATGTAAGCTGCCAAAGAAACAGGCCAAAACAGTTAATAGTGCCAACATCACAAATCTGTACTTTTACAAATGAGAATTCATTCTTTAACAGCGCTTGGCTACAAAATTATCCTTTTATTTTTCCATCATATTTAAATCAGCAAAAACATAGTTGTTTTACAGATATTTATTGCTATTTCAAAGAAGACATCTATGTACACTAAGGAATAAAACATGGTAAATAATTTTTTCATTGTTACTTTACAGATTTCCTTATTTTGTTAAATAAGAGACAATATCCAGTAAAATAATGGATTCATTTGCATGTTGGCTGTAAAGAAAAAAACCCCGAATAAAACTAACTAAAAAATGTCCACATCAAAAATATACATTTTTAAAAAATATATTATTATTTTTTTTACAAATAGTAATTGGTTGTTTTATAAAGTGCGGCTGTAAAAATCTGATTTTGTTTCGCTTTACTTAAATCAGTTTGAATATCATTTGTTTACAGATTTTTGTTGTTATTTTCAGTTTTTACAGTTTTGAATATTACAATATTTCACTTTTTTTTCTAGCACCCTTGTTACCAGAAATTCACTGCTTTTATGAATTTTATTTTTATTTATTTATTTATTTATTTTATAACACTATACCTAAATTACTTCAGATATTTCCACCAATTTCCAAATGATGGAGTAAACAATGGAAAGGAGCTATAATCTTAGTACTGACAAATCTAAGAACAGCCCTCAATAAATGAGAGAATTACAATAAATGCAAATGCTTTCACATGGATCGAGTTTGTGAGACAGTTAGGCAGCTTTTCATGAAAGTGTTGAGCAGGCCCAGATGACTTTGTCATTGAGATCCATGATTTGGACCTCAGTGACAAAAAGGAAAAGCTCTAAGTGACTCATTACACAGTCAGACACATATTTGGGGTCTCAGAGGTGTGAAATCCACACCGAGATACTGCTCTACGGAGGTAACGTGATATCATCACATTAGTCATTCTTGACCATTTTCTTGGTAAGTGGAGGAGTGCAAAACTGGTAAACAGCAGCAAAGCGACACAAGTGTCAGTGTTTGAGTCCCACGGTGAGGGGGTTTGGTGTTATGTGTCTTTTGCTGAATTGGATCCACTTGTCTCCTGAGCAGGAGGGCTCCTCCGTACGAATGAGCACGTTTATCTTTTGATGGAACATTTGTGTGCTGCTTGGAGTCAGTTCTTCCATCCTGATAATACCAGCATCCACGAGCTGCGTGACAAACACAGCGTGAAATATGAAGTGAATCATAGGCCTTCACAGTGACTAAATGAACACTTACGGGACGTTCTGTTTGGACCAATGTCAGGGGAAATCTGTTCATCTTTCTAGTACAGTTTGTCATCTGTGCCAAGGGGCACTGATGCTGCTCTGGAGGCTCCTGATGGTGCAACACCTTTGCAAGAATTCATGACCTCATTAGCTCACCTTTGACCCAAAAAAAATAAAAAAAATTAAAGATCACCTCCAGACATGATGTAAAATATTTTCCCACAGTGAAAGTTGCAAAGTTAAAATTGACTCAAGATCATTGACAGTGCAGAAAATTTAGCTGCTAGACAGAATCTATCAATAAAGTCAGTGTGCTGTAAGTGAAGAGTATCAGTTCATTTACCCAGTGAATACTAATGGAGGTTGGTTTACTTTTATAACTTACACTGCGTCATGACATTTGGACAAGCGGCCTTCTTGTTTGTTTCCTAAGTAGCATTAATGTCACAACATTTTCTGCACACGTTCAAATCAGATTTAAGGCGAGCACAGAAAAAAATTTCCCCTTTTTTGCAGATGAACGCGAAAACAGCCCCATAAATTCAAACTAAGAAGCACAGTAAAGGTCAAAGTAACTATTAGTAGAACACGTCTTTTAAAGCATGTGAACTTTAAGAAGCATAAAGCTGCAACAGATTATGATAGATCCAAGTGTACTGGCTGTTATTTCTTTCATGTCGTCGTCCTCCTTGAGCACATATGGGTGTTTATTTACATGACCCATTACCGTTCAGAACAGAACACTCTCAGTTCATTTACCCAGCGAATATCACTGGAGGTTAGTTCACTTCTATACCTCACACAGTTACAGTAGATCAAGTCCCAGTCAGGATCTAGACAACCCACGACAAACAGACAACTCATTGAAGTGTGACTGCAAAGCTGCTTTTGTCTGCTCACAAAAAATTCATTTATTTTTTTTTGTAACTTTTGATGAATGCATAGAAAATGAACAATAATAACCCTCCTCATAGAGCGCATCATGCTTCTATCATGAACTGAAGTGAGTTATGACACAGATGTCTTCTTCTAAGCAGTATGTAGATAACATACCCATCCCTCTGAATTTTAAATATGACAAACCCCTGGGGAAACAGACCCAAAAACACAAAATTAGCAACACAAATTTCACAGTGGGGGGGTCACGGGTCTATTGTAGACTCAATGATTAATATGCTTCTCAGGCTGCCACCATAAAGACTGAGAGACCAGATAACTGCTATAAAAATGGGTTCAGGGACAAGACATCATTATAGCAGATAATATCACATGCTTTATAAACAGTGTGCTTCTTTTTTTTCTTTTCTTTTCTTCTTTTTTTTTTTCTTATAAAACAATACAATACAAAACAGTCTTGCACAATTTCCAGACACAATGGTTTCTATATTTACAGGATGAATTCAGTAAAGGACACAGAAATTACAGCTGAAATTTAATTTCTTACATATCTAAAATACAAAGATGAAGCTTAACTGCTGTTCAGTCAGTCCAGGAACATATTCACAGTTCATTATCAGCGATTTTGTTTGCAAAATTTCCTGTGCAGTGTATATCTGGGTAAACACTAAATGAGGCAACATGGGACACTGTATTCTATTTGCATTTTTTAAACATTCATTTTAACTTGCAAAAGTAGAAGTAGAGAGGCAGGGTTTGCTGTATTACAAATGTTGAATTAATTTACATTTCCAGCACTACTGGATTCAGGTCAGCCATCTTTGAATTTTCACATTTGCCTTTTGGGAAATGGAAGATGCTGATTAGTTTTAACTCTGCAGGTTAGCTGAGGTTAACTCTATTTTAACTACAAATAGTGGAAAATTCAGTATCGCCAACAGAGGGCAGCAGAGCAACACTGTTGGAAATGCAGTAGTTGAAGTTAAACAGAAGAAGTAGGTTTTGAAAAAATGGTTTTGATTCCCAGGTTTGAACCCACAAATCAAAAGATATACCTCAACGTTAGAATTATATAAGCAGCTTGCTTGTTTTATTACTACCTTGAACCAAAATGAAATATCAACATCCTACTGCTGCTGCTGATGAAATCACTTTCAGAATCACTCCGACTAGACTACACACCTACCTCGTGTTTTTTGAAAGTTAACATACAGCCATTTGTTCTAACACTCAGCGAGAGTCTTTCGTAGAATATCTCAACTCCTTCTCCTCACTGGTTCAGTTTCATTATGACCTCTGCGCAAGGTCTTCATCACATTTGCATTTTCCCTGCATGTCTCCAACACATCGAGGTCCTGATGAGAAACCACTTAACTCCTTCACCCGCTGGTCAGCCGAGCCTCCCCACTGTCACTCGCACGCGGTCAAAAATAGGCGAGTGAACTGAAACCTGATGTAAATGTCCTTCGGGATTTGTTGCGCCAGCTCAGGCATGTTTCAGTACCAGATCTAAATGATGGCATCCTACAGTGAGACTGTAAAAGCTCTGTTTATAACTAGACTGCTTTCAAAAAGAGAGATTAACAGTTAACTTACAGTAGAACAGTAAAATCTGATTAATCACTCAACAGTACTATAAACAACCACAAGGATTTCAGCGATTACAAAATATATAATACAATCTTATACAGTTTATAACCCTACCTATACAAGTTTTGGGATGAACGCACCCCAACAAATGTTCAATATACAAATACTACAAGTTTTTCCAAAGTAAGAAGAAGCCGACTCTGTACATGCATTCCTTTTTACATACAGTTGTTTTTTTTTCAGAGGGTAGGATTCTTGTACAGATTTACTGAACAACAATGGAAAGTCTAACTAAATGTGCATCTGCATGTACTGATTTGTCACCACACAACTGTGCATTGGGTCCGGTGAGGAGTAGCTCCTCTCTACCACGCCATTGGACTGACAGTGATATTAGATGGTGCTTTACGGTCATATTGGCAGTGTTGCAGAGTGTAGTCTCTAGGTGTCATCTATTCTATACAAACCACCCATCAGCGAAACGCCTTCAAGCAGAGCCTCTATATTTATGTCACACCGTTGCTCTCAAGTCCTGACTATAAATGAGTGTAAATATGCAGTATATAGCTGGAACTATTCAAATACATATTGGCAAGTACTTGGCATTCACTGAGCACCACCCTGTTATTACGTATTCATCGGTTTGGAGCCTGAATCATCTGAGATGGAGCAGAGAGGTGAGGTCCTTTTTAAAGATGAAGAGGACGGAGTTCCTTGTAGGGAGGGAGGATGGAGTTGGCAAGAGCTTTCTAAAGGTTAAACACTGGTGGGACTCTGAGTGCTTTTGTTGCTTGGTCTTTTAACAGTCTATTGGAAATTTTGAGACATATTTTAAGTATAATCCAGCTTTTCTCTGCACAATAATGTGAACACACAATAAAGAGCAGTAGAAATATATCAAAGCCTCACAGATTGCGTTTTTTTTTTTTAATACATATAGTAGCTTTTCAATAGCAAAACCGCGTCTGGATAAAATGTCCTATAAATTCTTGACTTGAATGTTTTTATAGCACAAAAGTCCAGTTTAATGTCCTTAATGTCCCTTTGTGTCTTTGTTTGTGACTGCCTGTAAACAGTACTGGGGGGAAAAAGTACTAAAAAGGAAAAGAGTTCTGAATAATCAAATCATCTTCATGTTGAACTTGCGCGCTCCACCCTGTCCTCCACTGGCTGCAGGTCCATCCACTTTTCTGAAAGAATACTCTACTGAGAAATTGTTTTTGTGCTGTCCTCTGCCTCGACTCCACACAAACAGCAGGATGAAACAGAACAGGACCACTCCCAGGAACATGATACAGCCCATAGCTGTGGATATGAGGATGGTCTTGAGGTCCAGAGTAAACTTCAAGAAGACTCTGGTATCGTTCAGATTTGTGTCATTAAGATCTCCAGCATAATAGGTACGGTTGGCCATGAGGGCTGCGTCCAGCGGCAGCCCGCTTACTGTAAGTGTGGCAAAATAGGTGTCATTTCCACCAGCATTGCTAGCAATGCAGATGTAAGTTCCACTATCCGTTACCTGGGCGTACCGTATTTCTAGCGTGCCTTCTGGCAACACAGTTAGGCGGCCGCTGCTCTTTGTGGTGATGCGGCGGCGCTGAGGGGAAATCCAGAATATCACTGGTGTGGGCTCACCTTCGGCTCTGCAAATGAAGGAGACTACCTGCCCCTCACGAGCAGATATCTGCTGCAGTTTCCTGTTGCGAATTTTGGGCTTCTGGCAAGTAAAGTGGTCAAAGAGAGCTGAGTCAGAGAAAGCGTTGAGAGCCCGTCCCTGCACCTCAACAGGCGTCATGCACACTGGGGAGGCACCGTCAAAATTGAGGGTCTTCCTACGCTGGAGGATCCAGAGCAAGCGGCAGTCGCAGGCCAGAGGGTTTCCGTCCAAACGTAGCGTCTCCAGAGTGTTGACGGACTGGAAGGCTCCCTCCTCCAGGGTCACCAGGCTGTTGGTGGAAAGGTTAAGAAGGCGGATTTGTCTAAGACCGCCAAGCGCATACGGCTGCACTACGACCAGGTTAGTGTTGACTAGATGCAGCTCCTTGAGCCGGATGAGATCCCGCAGCGCCCAGGACTCCAGCACTGAGATAGGGTTGTAGGAGAGGTTGAGGCTGGTGAGGTGAGCCAGACTGCGCAGGGCAGAGGTGGGCACAGAGGTGATGTTGGTGTGCGTAATAGACAACCAAGACAAGTTAAGACCCTGCAGGCTGTGAGGGGAGATGTACTCTAAGAAGGGCCAGTTATCGATCTCAAGGCCCCTTAGGTTCCCCAACTTTCGGAAGTTCTGGTCCTCTAAGGCGGAGATACTGAGGTAGCGGAGCCGTAGAGTGACCAGGTTATGCAGGTATGACAAAGACTGGCTGGACACTGAAGTCAGGTTGCACCTCTCAATGGTCAGCTCCCTCAGTCCCACTAGACCCAAAAAGGCCTTGTTGGAGATATAAACCAGATCATTGTCTCCAACCTCCAAGTTCTTTAGACTCTTCAAGTCTTGGAAAGTAAAGTCTAAAAGAATTACAATCTTATTTCCACTGAGGTCCAGTGACGTCAGGTTGGAGAGACGTGAGAAGGCCCCCATAGGGACCAGCTTCAGTTGGTTACCCCTCAGCGAAAGCGACTGCAGGTTTTGGAGACTAGAAAAAGCATTTGGTTCCAGGACGCTGATCATGTTGTCACTCAGGTCCAGCTTTTCGAGACGTGGATATGGAAGCAGGTCACCATGCTCGACCCAGCGAAGTTTGTTCCCGCTTAGGTCCAGGATCTTGGTGTCGGACGGGATTCCGTCTGGCAGTGCGGACAGACGTTTGCCAAAACAGGACACAGTCTTGAGCTTGGCAATGCACTCGCAGCGCTGTGGACAACTTTGGCTTTGGGCGGGTGACACTGTGATCATAAGTAGCAAGAACAGGAAAGGCAGGAGCCAGCCTCCATTCTGGCTCACCCCCATGGCCCTCCTTTCTTCCTCTTCCTACGTCACCTGTCTGGGGTTGAATCACTGGGCCAGACACCTGAGAGAAGAGAAGGACGGATCAAGAAAAGAATAGGTGGGGAGGGGATGAAAGAACAGAAAGCAGGAGAGAGGAAGACAAAAAGACAGACAGTGAGACAAATTAATTAAACTCAATTCCCTTTAAACAGCAGCGATCAAACACTCTAAATGAGTGGAATTACAATTACAAACTCTAATTGACCCGACACAGCAGTGAAATTAAAGCTAGAGCTCCAAGATAATCCTCAAAGGACTGAGTCTGTATTCAGTTGAAACAATTTGGTTCACGATTGTCGACTGTGCCTGTGTAAAATGTCAGGTTTTAAAATCATATGCCATTACGCCAAAAAATCCCCAAGAAGCTATGAGTCACTCTTATATCTGATGCCTGTATTGCTCTCTAGCTGCTCGCTCTCTCCTGAGCTCATGCATTGTAAATGAAAACAGGGAAATAGGGAAATGAGAACGAGAAATCATTGTATTCACAGGCCCTCATGTGAGGCATCTTAAAATGCATGAAAATCTAAAACAATTGTGCGCTCTCAGAAGCCTTTGACAGCAAATAGCCCCGCAAATGCACTCCAATGGCCCGTTTATATACTGTGAGGAAACAAATAGACTTAGGAGAGAATACCGGCATGGGAGCAGGCTGAATAAAACATCAAATTGACACTGACCAATGAAAAGACATATAGCACAGTATGTCCAGCTCCTCTCCTGCCCGACAAGGTCGCTCACCATAGCAGAAGGCTACGACTCAGTGCATCACAATAACTCAGGCCACCGCATCATCTGCATGAGTCTCTGAGGCATGAGGCTTATCATGAGAGGAGCTTGCCTACTCCGACCTGCCAATGGGTTTCGTATGACACACATGCACAGTTCCTCTCTCTCCCACCCAGTGCCTTTGTCTGCAGATGGATGTCGACAGCAGAGTGGTAATCCCTATTTAAACCCCCCCCTCCAGTGAAACGCCAAATAGTCGGAAGGAAAGTAAGTCCGGAAAACATATTCCACAATTTTATAACTGAATGGTGAAGCTGACAGTGTGTTAAAAGACACTGACAAGGCACATCTCCTGTGCCTCACATAAACATGCACACTGATACATCCACTTATAAAACACAAAAGACAGCACATCATGAGACCCTGATCCCTTTTCTCTCGCTACTGCCTGTCATTTACAAAATACGACATTTACAACTGTTTAAAAAGGAAATAGGACATGAATGTTTGACAAAGTTAGAGAAAATCTCCAGAATATCACTGCATAGAAACACACACAACCCGACTTGCCACGACCAAAACAAAGTCTTGAGACGTGAAAGGTTTTGGCATTTGAAGCCCAAAACCTGCCAGCGTGTTTGAAAGGCATGTTATCACCAAACTGACACCATTAATTACAGTCAGAAACTGCAAGAACAGAAATAATTAATGGATTTTTTAGCTTTCAGTATGTCACTGCATGTTACGTGTGACATGCCATTCATGCTGTTTTGTAATATTTCATCAAAATCAATTTATTCTACATGTCGACAAATCACCAAAAATAAAGCATTTGCAATATATAGATTCTGTGAAAAACAAAAAATTCTGTGTTCCTTGGCTCAACCGAAAAGGTATTAATGAATCAGCTACAACCAACAGTCATGTGACAAAAATTCTGGGACTTTTTAGCTAAACTGGACTGAACTGCAAGCACTGTATTGCGCAAACAGGTGGCAAGTAAATTATAAATGTAAATAGTTTAATATCTATAGCATGTGGAGTTGTCCTTTTTCCCCCACGGGAACAATTTTGTAAATGTTGACTCCAGGTTTTTTCAATTCTTGTAAAATAAGTTAAGTTATACCGAACAAAGCCAAAGCTGTGCGGTTCCAATAGAGGTGCAGGATTTTATATTACAGTGACAAATGAGTCCACAGCAGCCAGAAACACCCAGAAACTGCTCGGGGCGCAGAAGATTAAATTCTCACCTGCTTCCACAGATGATTTAATAACTCCTTTAATGTCCCTCACCTCTACACATGTTCTAATTTACAATTCAGCCTTGCTCAAAGATGAATATCCCCATTAGCCAACTTTCTGCTGAATAAAAATTACCTGAATCTAAAAATGTGAGCAGCACCGCTGATAGCAGGAGGACTTAAAATGAGCAGAACGTTGTTAAACATGACACAAAATTTTGAAAATGTCAGACTTTTGACAATCCATTAGTCATAACGCCAGAGACAGCGAGGTGTCTTTGTCCTCCCTCCACCTCGAACAAACACACACGTACACAAAAACACACACGTCATCGCCGCCTGACACGTAGCCTTTTGCAGTCAGCCCACAAATTTTGTGTCATTCACTGTGGTTTAACAAGGCTGAACACACACTGACGCAAGAGCTCTTTCTGCACTCATGGGAAATGCTCGGATTTTTGGTTCAGGCTTTGTAACTGTGAAAAAAAAAACAAACAAACACGGCAGCAGATCTGGAGGCACTGACAAATTTCACCGTACATCCCACTGAAATCGGTAACGAAGCTCGTGGTGAGAAATTCTGACAGAATTAGGGGATTCAATCACATAAACAATGCACAGTTAAAAGCACACATTTGCTCAACGACGTCACTGGTGAAGCTTCCGGCTGTAAAGCAGCAATCTTCAAAACCAATACCTCACTGTGAATATTGTGCTCATGAGATTACAGCTGTGTGAGATGGGTAGCACTCACTGCAGGCTTTTTTTAAAATCCCTGTTTTGCTTCTCTTTTTACGAGGAGGGACATCATTTACGTGACTGATGCTGCACATAGACTGTTTCCATAGGTGCATGTGTGATAATTGTGCTTTATTTCCCCCCTCCTATTCAGATACTGTGTAATAGATGGATGCTTTGTGCATTTCCCTATTCCACTGGATACAATGTGAATGCACTTCGCTGGCTCAATATTTCATAATATTTAATTACCTTTGTACCGAGATGGGTTCCTTGTTGCTGGGAGTCTGATGCAGTATTCATGTTTTCATTACACACTATGTAAACTTGCACATTCCTGCACACCGGAAACAATTCTATTACTTTTTTATTACTTTCATAATCCCTTGGATTTGCTGACATGTGACACTTGCTCCATTATTTGTCTTGTAGCACTTACCATCCACTGCCTTGCAACACTGCAATGTGTGTTGTGTGTGTTTTAGCTTTTCTTTAAAACCTTTCTGCCTGTTAGTGTTCACTTTAAGTCAGATTCCTCATATGTTTAAACCTACTTGGCAACAAAACTGACTCTAAATCAGGAATGTTATTATTATTTGACACTATAAGCTGGGATCTCATGAATTGCTATAGTGGAAAATTCCATTATCAGGTCAAATTAGACAAAAAACTAACACTGTTATTGACAGCTCTGTCTGCATAATTTGAAGAACTTCTCCCCTTGGCATGCATGTTGCCTGTTGTTAAGCCTTTTGTTGACATTATATCCCATTCAGTATGACTTAGGGGCATGCAGCCTGCCTTCAAAAACAGTAGCAACTCACCTGCCTCTGCAAAACTTTAAGCTTTTTCCTCCCATAAACAGTAGGTGGGCAGTGACTGAAACAGCAGTAACCACAAACTTCCTCCCTCCCGACCCACACCCCGCTGCCCTCAAGCCCCTTTTTGAAATGTCTCCAATTTCCCTGTCAGTCACATGGCCAGGTTTGACAAACCCATATCTGGTAGCAGTCGCTCACTAATAAGCCTGGGGCCCCCTGCCAGCGAACACACCGCGGGTCAGCAGCAGGTGGATGGAGCGGTGTGCACACTACTGTACACAGCACCATCCCTCCACATACAGTAACTACTGTCCAAGGGAGTACTGTTACCTGGTAGTAAGCTGCAGTCAAAAATAACCAGCAGAGTCACATCTCTTTGATTATGCAGCAGGATTACAACGCCGCTCTTCCCTGCTGACCTTCGGCAGATGCAGGTGACTCCGGGCAGAGCAGAGGTACTGCTCGGGGGAAAGAAACTGGTTCCCCTGACAGGGGATTGACTGACAGCCACTTTCCCTCAGTGCTCACATTTCATTAGCACTTGTTTTGTTTTTTTCGGGAGGATAAAATTCTTGTGGTTTCACGCTAAGTCAAGTGGTAAAACGTGATCGATGGCATGGATAGTGATGATACTGCAACAAAAAAAGAGACACAGCACTTCTGAAGCAGAATGAAAAATAGCAATGAAACTGCAAAACAACCTCCAGAGCAGCAGCACTAAGCGGCTGCTGTCACAGTCTTCATGCAGTTTAGGTCTTAAAATACCTGTTTCAGATAAATATGCTGTTGGCTTCAGCAAAGTTATGTAAAAACTCGTCTGTGAAGTCAAAAGATGTTCACCAAAACCCAAGTACAGCAGCTCTGCCTCGCAGACAGAATCAATATGCAGCTTCTGATATGAACTGCAATGCTCGGATCGGCTTTGAAAGGACAAAACTGTAGGTGTTTAATGTTGTCATGGTGACGCCTGCCCGTCTCCATCTACACTTTCCTCCCCAGCTTGAAACACTTTTCCTAATCTCCCAGTTTTTTTCCACAGAATGCTCAAAACTCACCTGTCAGCTCGACACCCTCAGTGAGTTTCACACCTCTGTGCTCTGACCTCACCTCAGTGTTCGGGTCATCGCTCATTTGCACATTAGCGTATCAGTAAATATCAAGGATGACAATCTACACGATGTTGCCAAGTTGCTGTTTACATCTTTTCTGCCTCGTATCTGCATATAATTTCCTGCCTTTCTGTGTTTGCTTGTTGTATCTTGACATCTGCATTACGATCCTGTTTCTCGTTACTTGTTGCCAAAACCACAAGAAAAGACAGCTGCCGGTTGTCTGTCACTGTCAAATTGGTAAATTACATATAAAAAGCATTGTCAGTACATTCTGTGCACACATCCACTAGCATCAGACAACTGGTCAGTCCTCTTTATTTTACTATTTTCGTTGCCAGGCAACATTTACTCATCTAGCTATTAGAGGCAACTTCAGCGCCT